GGGGTTGGGTGTGCCCCCCCCCCCCCGCCATGACGGCAGGTTCCCTTGCCCACCACCCATCTTCACATGCATGAAATGCAAAAGAAAAAGAATTATATGCACACAATATGCGTCGCCACTAAGACCTCTGGAACATCTACGACAAGATGCACGAGGAGCAACACTGGACACATGACACTTGCCTAGGTCTTGTGTAGCATCCAATGTTGGTATGGAGCTTGAAAACATTGGAGGAAGGTGCAACTGTCCAATAATCAATCACCGAATTCAAACCGACCTTTGCTCCGTATAATTGTCGCTCTTCCCCACACCCCAAAGGCGCCTCCAAAGGCAACCCCAAGGACACGGTCGTGGGGAAAGGCCCAAGGTCCCCAGTGCTTGCGCTTGCCCTGTCCCAGTTCCCGGAGCTCATCTCTTATTTGGGAATTGGCTTGCTGACTCCGGCTTCGACAGCCTCGACGGACTCGCATGTGATTGTCGAATGCCGACGTCCTGAATTTAAGGCCCATTGTACGGCCTCGACGCCATTTTGGTCTTCAGCTCTACTTTCTTCCCTCTCCCCCCTTCTTCTTTCTTCCATTCGCAATATCCATCCAAACAGCCCATCATGTCCAAGGTCTTTTCGACGAGCGACGTTGCGTCGCACAACAAGGGGGATGATATGTATATTATTGTCGATGGGGATGTGTATGATATCACCAAGTTCCAGGATGAACATCCCGGTATGTTTCCCTCCCCTCGATTGCTGTCAGTCACCGCCGTCCTTTTCTTTTCTATCCTTGCTGACCTCCACATGCGGCATAGGCGGCAAGAAGATTCTCCAGCGAGTCGCTGGCAAGGACGCCTCCAAAATCTTCTGGAAATACCACAACGAGGGCATCCTGAAAAAGTACAAGGGCAAGCTGCAGGTCGGCTCGCTCGGCACCAAGCCCAAGCCGGAGCCCAAGGCCGAACCCAAGCCTGCCGCCGCATCCGCTCCTAAGAAGGCCGCCAGGCCCAGCTCCAGCAACGAGCAGTCCGAGCCCCTGGAGCCCTTCGGAGCCCTGATCCCCTTTGCCGACCCTTCGTGGTACCAGGGCAACTTCTCGCCCTACTTCAACGAGACTCACGCCGCTCTCCGTGCCGAAGTCCGCGAGTGGATGGAGAATGAGATCGAACCCAACGTCACTGAGTGGGACGAGGCTAAGCGCGTCCCCGAGGAGATCTACAAGGAGATGGGCCGCCGTGGCTATCTTGCTGGTCTCTTGGGTGTCAAATACCCTACCGAGTATGTCCCCAACGGTGTCAAGTCGGTCCCCACGGAGAGCTGGGATCTCTTCCACGAGATGCTGTTGACCGACGAGCTGTCGCGTGCTGGCTCTGGTGGTTTCGTCTGGAACTTGATTGGTGGTTTCGGTATCGGCTGTCCTCCCATCATGAAGTTTGGTTCTCAGACCCTCAAGGACCGCATCATGCCTGGCATTCTCGCCGGTGATAAGCGCGTCTGCCTGGCCATTACGGAGCCTGATGCTGGTAGTGACGTTGCCAACCTGACTTGCGAGGCCAAGCTCAGTGAAGACGGCAAGCACTTCATCGTCAACGGCGAGAAGAAGTGGATTACCAACGGTATCTGGGCTGACTACTTCACCACTGCCGTGCGAACCGGCGGTGAAGGCATGAACGGCGTCAGTCTGCTGCTCATCGAGCGTGGCCCCGGTGTCAACACCCGTCGCATGGACTGCCAGGGTGTCTGGTCCTCCGGAACCACCTACATCACCTTTGAGGATGTCAAGGTCCCCGTTGAGAACCTTCTTGGCAAGAAGGACAAGGGTTTCGGTGTCATCATGACCAACTTTAACCACGAGCGTATTGGCATCATTATCCAGTGCCTTCGTTTCTCACGTGTTTGCTTTGAAGAGTCCGTCAAGTACGCCAACAAGCGTCGCACTTTTGGCAAGAAGCTCATTGAGCACCCCGTTATCCGTATGAAGCTCGCACACATGGCTCGCCAGATTGAGGCTTCCTACAATTGGCTTGAGAACATGATTTACCAGTGCCAGAAGATGGGTGAGCACGAAGCCATGTTGCGTCTCGGCGGCCCCATTGCTGGCCTCAAGGCCCAATCTACCGTCACCTTTGAGTTCTGTGCCCGTGAAGCCTCGCAGATCTTTGGTGGTCTTTCGTACTCGCGAGGTGGACAGGGTGGCAAGGTGGAGAGATTGTATAGGGATGTTAGAGCGTATGCTATCCCAGGTGGTAGCGAGGAGATTATGCTGGATCTTAGCATGAGGCAGTCTCTAAAGGTTGCTCAAGTTATGGGTATGAAGTTGTAAAAGCTCACGGAAAAGCGTGTGGCCTTTTAGGATGAGACAATTGCGGGATCTATCCAATGTGTATAAGTTAATGGGACGGGAGTTGGGTTTTTCTTTTTCCATTTTTCTATATTTCTTTTTTTTTAAAGGCCACGTTTTTTGATTCCCACTATGGCCTGGGGATTGGCGATAGAGACAAACGACAGCTTCCACTACAGGATTGAATATTGACGTGTACAGTGAGTGGGGTGTATGTAATACGTCCCTAAAAAGTAAGATATTGTGGATTTTGCAGCCATTTTGCCCGAGCATTGTCAACAGCAGCATATTCTGCACATAAAACATACACTCTCTCCGGGGTGAAGCAAACATTCTTCAAAAAGCAAAATACCCCTTACACAGCTTGGATGACCTTGGGAGGTTACTACCTAGGTAGGTAGTAGGCAACCACAGCAACTACCCTACTCCGTACGGAGCAAGTGGTTCCTGAGGACCCCGCGATCACGTGACCATAAAACCTGCGCCGTGACCGTGCCGCACATCACGGCCTTCAGAGACAGAATCTCCGAGCTTCACCACACTACGCTTGCACTTCCAACACGACGACATCCGCTCACACAAATAAGGGCCTCACGCCGCAATCTTGACGAAAACGCACAACAAGCACGACGCAGTATCAGTACGGTGGCCAGTCAGACATCAGGCCACCTGAATCACCTTTTGATCCTTTCTTCCCACAGGATCCCAACGACACTTGCCTCACTCCCAATCTCCTTCCTCGGCCCGCCCTTGGGGTAAAACGGCCGCGAATCAAAACGCCACGCTCACGAATTGAAAACAACGTCTGAAGGGCACCTTATTTGGAGCAATTTTGGCCAATATTCACATCTTAGCCTGCGTCTCGTAGTCCACTCTTGGACTCAGAATTAATTTTTTTTTTCTTCTCAAAATGACCGATCAGCTGGTAGATCAGCTGCGAAGCACACAAATCAGGTCCGTTCTCTTAACGCAAACTCCCCGCAGATTCTTCATCTGGTGATGCCGCCAGGCTACTGTGTTGTTTTTTAATTACGTATATAGTTTTTGGGGTGGGCTGCCGTTACTGACTTTCTATGTAGTGATGGTATCCCTGTACAGACGGATGATTGGAAGAAGAACTTGAAGCTCCCTGCCAAGGATAACAGACAACAAACAGAGGTATGCATATGATAACTAAATGGTGTCTTCTATTGCACCAAATCTCCCAATATCATTAGTTCCGTTTGGGCTAAAGAGGACTGTTTCTCCCTCTTTTCTTCCAGGATGTGACGAAAACGAAAGGACTGGAATTCGAAAACTTTGCGTTAAAGCGCGACCTGCTCATGGGCATTTTCGAAGCTGGTTTCGAGAAGCCTTCACCTATTCAAGAAGAAGCCATCCCCGTTGCCCTGACCGGCCGGGACATTCTGGCCAGAGCAAAGAACGGTACTGGCAAAACCGCCGCCTTCGTCATCCCTGCCTTGGAGCGCATCAACCCCAAGGTCTCCAAGATTCAATGTCTCATACTCGTTCCCACCCGCGAGCTTGCCATGCAGACGTCACAGGTTTGTAAGACTCTCGGCAAGCATTTGGGCATCAACGTCATGGTCACCACCGGCGGTACCGGTCTGCGTGATGATATCCTGCGTCTGCAGGACCCTGTCCACATCGTTGTTGGCACTCCCGGGCGTATTCTCGATTTGGCAGGAAAGAGTGTTGCCGATCTTAGCGAATGCCCCATGTTCATCATGGATGAGGCCGACAAGCTTCTATCCATTGAATTCACCCCCGTCATCGAGCAGCTCCTGCAGTTTCACCCCAAGGACCGGCAGGTCATGCTGTTTTCCGCCACTTTCCCCCTGTCCGTCAAGGACTTCTCTGACAAAAACATGGTCTCCCCATACGAAATTAACCTTATGGACGAACTCACCCTTCGCGGTATCACACAGTACTACGCCTTTGTGGAGGAGAAGCAGAAGGTCCACTGCCTGAACACCCTCTTCTCCAAGCTTCAGATCAACCAGTCCATTATCTTCTGCAACTCGACCAACCGTGTCGAACTGCTAGCCAAGAAAATCACCGAATTGGGCTACTCTTGTTTCTACAGTCATGCTAGGATGCAGCAGCAGGCCCGTAATCGCGTCTTCCATGATTTCCGCAACGGCGTCTGCCGAAACCTTGTCTGCTCCGATCTCCTCACCCGCGGTATCGATATCCAGGCTGTCAATGTCGTCATCAACTTCGATTTTCCCAAGAACGCTGAAACGTACCTCCACCGCATTGGTCGATCCGGCCGTTATGGTCACCTTGGTTTGGCTATTAACCTGATCAACTGGGACGATCGCTTCAATCTATACAACATTGAGAGAGACTTGGGCACCGAGATTCAGCCCATCCCCCCCAGCATTGACAAGAGCCTCTACGTTTACGAGAATCCTGAATCTATTCCTCGTCCCATTTCCAATCTTCCCAGGAACGCGCAACAACAGCAAGCGGGTTCTTCCCAACAGCTCCTCGCTCAGCAGCCGCAGAGCAACTGGCAGAACCAGAACGGCCAACACAATAACCACTACGGTCGTGGGCGTGGACGAGGACGCGGATACCGAGGGCGAGGCGGTGCTGCCGGTGGCGGTCGGGGTCGCGGCCAGCCTCGCGAAGTTCAATCATAATATAATCCCACAAAAATTTTGACAAATGTGGGCAGTTCTGAGGAGGGGACGAACATAAAGTTGTTGAAACTTATTTTTGGTGATTTTTTTTTTCTTGTTCAGGTAGGAGAAGAAGGGACGAGCAGGAAGGGTTGACATACATGTTGGATTGTACATTATTTGCACTTTCTTGGCGAATCGGGCAGAACGGCGAACTGGTTGATTTGCTACTTGGCCAATAACTTTTTCCAGTTGGCCATTTATCGGAACTGTTTTCTTTAACTTTTTTTCTTCGCCTATTAGCGTGTATTTATGCGCGCGCCTCTGGGAAGAACGATCGACGAAGACAACATGCGCTCTCGGACGAGGATTTTCCCGTTCGTCATTTCTTTCTTTATTTTTTCTGGCACCGATTTGCATTGGCGTGGGGGGGGGTTGTTTTCGGTCTCGACATGCGATGATACCCCTTGGGTTAGCTTCGATACATCATGTCTGCCGGAAAATTTCATGTCATGCCGTCATGGGGCATGCTTCATATAAGACAAAACAGCTTTCGGAAACAGAAGGGGAATGGCAGTCACATGCCATGGACACATATTTAACACGCTGTATTCGAGCTGTTGGCGTAGCTATTGCATTGGCACGGTGTTTCAGCTACGAGGGCACGGCGGAGAGGCGTATCAGGTTTTATCACTCTGAACATATTTTGTCTCCTTGCTCTGGAGTTGTAGGGCTCAAGTGACTTGCACCTGTTGTCACACACATGGGTGGACTGGATGAAGGGCCTTGTGAGGCTGGGGTGATGATACCACTGGACGACTGTTACGGCTATGAGCAGGTTTGGTTAGGTTTGGGTGAGATACCCTCAGCTGGGGTAGAGGTACGGATGTGACTATGCTGGTTGGTGTAACATCTTGGCGGTTGGCTGGTCTTATTATCTTTTATCACACCTACGATGGTGTGAGCTGACAGGGATGCTGGTCCCGGGCGACAGCGACATGTGGCTGCTCTCTCAGACAACCGACATGGTGGAAGGACAAGTTTTACACCGAGTCTGGAGAGTCGGCGGTGGGGTGAAGGAAAACAAAAAAAAAAACAAGGTACAAAAATTATCATAAAAATAGCTTTCGGGGCAGAAGCTGGATTGCTGGATAGCCTCGAATCAGGCTGGTGAATAACGTCAAATTTAGATTTGGTCAGTTATTTACAGCGAGGACTGGTAGGGTAGACAGTTAGTCTGAGCAATAATGGGGAACCAAATTCTGTCTCGAAACTGATTTGACGTTGACCGTGAGAATTAGGAAAGGAGGGCATGTCAACAGGTTGAGGAAACGGAGACACTTTGAGACGTACAATGTAAGCGCCAGCACCAAGGTCTCAAAGGTATACATGTGCTTTGGGACCAACAGGCAAAGGTGCAGCAAGGAAAAAAAAAGAATTCTCTTGACAATTTTCATCTTCGGATGGAATGAGAGCCAAGTGACACGGGGAAGAAGGTCTGAGGGGCCCAATTATAGTCCGATCACGTCACGACAAATTTCACAGGCAGACAAAACGACATGAACGGTCAAAGGAAGCGGAACCTACTGTTGGGCTGGCAGGGATTGACAGGTTTCAGCGTTTAGAAAAGAAGAAAAAGAGCCGTGTTTTCTATTGTCAATAGTGCCATGGAGCCATTTTACATTGCGGATTCGGGCGTTCCTGAATGCTGGCTCCCTCGCACCATCAGGGTGGTTGACTTCTTCAGAGTTTCCGGCGACAAGTTGGGCGGCCGGGGAGAAATTTCTGGTGCTTGGCGTGGTGCTGATGACTAAGGCGGGGTGGCCCGTCATCAGCGAGACGGAGATGGGCGCGGCGCGTGGGCCGTGATACCCGCCTTCCGGTCCTCGGCGCTACGCGGACACCACGCCGACTTGGGAACCCGGGATGCCAAGGATGCATTGCTGCTCTGCGTTTCTGCAAAACCATTGCCACTTGGGGGCTTGGACATGGGATGGCTTCATGCCCACGTCCTGCAGCCTTGAAATCTGTACATTTCCCCTTTGTAAATCGCCATGCCGCATAGGGACCCCCTCGATCCGTCCAACACCACATGGCGCGCGTACGTGCGGGACGCATTCATCGCACTTGAACACGTATGTTGGAAACTCTTCTTTTTCAATCTCGTTTCGAGACAAAAGAAACGCTCGGTAGCAGGATTTCTAACAGAAAACCCTGCGTCAAACAGACCCTCTTGTCGGCGAGGGGAAAGCTCCTCCGGGACTGGGTATTCGTGCCCCTGGGCATCTTTGCCATCCTGGGCGCCTGCTGCGGCGTTGACGTGCTCTTCCGCAGGGTGTCGGTTTCGTTCCCGGCGTCGGTGGCCTGTCTGGCGCTGCTGTTTGCCGGGCTGCTGCTTTGTGAGGCGGTGCTAGGGACGCATGTCACGCGGAGGGCCGTCGGTGTCATCAATGTGCCGGTGCGTGTTCTTGCGTCAAGCTCTCATGGCTTCTGAAGGCCTTCTGTTCTCTTTGCTAACCGCGATTTGGATTGTGTAGGCGGACTGGAGTCTGAGATGGATCGGGCTGTTCTTTACGCCGTCGTTTGTGACGATTCCGCTGAGCCCGGCGATTGGGGTCGGTGAGGTCTTTAAGATTATCGCCGTGTTTGGTGGGTGAGCCTTTGTGTTTTTTTCTTCCTTTTCTTCAGACAGCAGAAGAACCTGTTGGCTAATGGCGCCGGCGGGGGAGAGCAGTCGTCGGGTTCGCCGTCATGATGGTGCTGGCGGCGTACATGACGCGCGGGCTGCAGCTCGTGCTGGGCGCGACGAAGCGTTCCGAGACGGAGCGCGGCGACGAAATGGGCCGTCGTGAGCACGACGAGATGCCGCTTCACCAGCGTCGCTCCGACTCGGGCGGCATCGCCAGCCCGCCGCAGCTCCGGCTCCAGCAACACCACTACTCGCAGAGCAGCCCGGCAGACGGCAGCGTCGCGGCGGCGTCGGCGTC